AGTTAGTATATAGAATAGTATATTGAAAGTTCTAATGTATATAAAAATAAGAACCAGTAATATCAATTATTAAACAAGCACTATTAAATACTAAACCTACTTAAAAACAACAAACTAAGGCTGGGCATGGTGGCGCACGCCTTTAATCCCAGCACTTGGGAGGCAGAGGCAGGTGGATGGATCTCTGTGAGTTCGAGGCCAGCCTGGTCTACATAGTGAGTTCCAGGTCAGCTGGGGCTACAGGGAGACACTGTCTCAAAAAGACCAAAACAAACAACAACAACAACAACAACAAACTGGAGAAAATACCCAGGAATACCAAGAGTGAGCAAACTTTATGTGAGAAAAGCTTTAAAACACTTCTGAAGCAGGGCTAGAGATGGCTCAGGGGTTAAGAGCACTGACTGTTCTTGCAGAGACTCTGGGTTCGATTTCCAGCATCCACATGGTGGCTAACAACCATCCTTAACTCTAGTTCCAGGGGAATTCGATGCTCTCTTCTAACATCCACAGGCACTGCATGACACACGTGCATTTACATACATGCAGGCAATACACTCATATACATAAAAATAAAAATAATAATTAAGGGGGCTGGAGATATGTCTCAGTGGTTAAGAACACTGACTGTTCTTGCAGAAGAACTAAGTTCAAATCCCAGTACCCACATGGCAGCTAACAACTGTCCATAACTCCAGTTCCAGGGGATCTGACAGCCTCTTCGGTCCTCTGCAGGCATTGTATGACATGGGTACACTTACCTACAAGCAGGCAATACATGCATACACATAAAATAAAAATAAATAATTTTTAAAAATTAAAAAGAGAAATTAAAAAAAAACCCTTTTGAAGCAACAAAAGAGAAGACATACTATGTTCTTGGACACAAGGCAAGATGCAAGTCCTTAAGGAAGCAAGTTAATTTGTAGACAAGGTTATTTCTAAAGGTTATATTGCAAAACAAGTAAGAAGGGTCTTGAAAACTTTGAAAAGAGAATACAAGAGGAGCCTTGTCACACATTAAAAGTCATAAAATAAATGACCAATACATATCTGTGTGTATGTGTGCCAAAGCAAACGTCTGTGTATCAAAAACCTACCAACAAAAGCAAAATAACCTACCACCATCCCAAAGGGAAAACAGACAAACAACAATTTAGATATAACCTTGTCCAGAGAAGCTTCTTTTGAGGCAGGCAAGCAGCAGTTAATGCAGATATCATAACTGGTCAAAGTGCTGAGAATAAGTGACTGAGTACTGAGTACTCAGCACTAAATGGGACATCTGTAACAATTCTCCTCCCATCCGGGACTCAGGGGACACCATAGAAGAGGGAGCAGAAAGAGCTGGAGGACGGGGAGGAGTGTTATGAAATGCTCACTCCTGGCCATGGCACTTGTAGCAACCATGGTCAACTGCACAAGATCTGTACAAGATCAAGGTAGTCAACATTCCAGCATGGATAGAAAAGGCCCCATCCCTGTTGAGGTGCTATTGGCTGCTGATAGCTGCTGGGAGAGGGAGATGAATTTTCCCCAGGGCTGTGGTCACTAGTAGGTCCCCTATGTTCTAGTGGACGGCCCCATACCTTTGCACATACAGGCAGCACTAACTGGACTCAGTAGGTTACTAACAAAAGAGAAGAGGGCATGAAGATGGGGGGAAATGTGTTGGGAGGGGGACTGGGAGATGAGGGGGAATGAAGGTAGCTACGGTAAAAATACACTATATGCATGTATGAAATTCTCAAAGAATAAAAATATACTATTTATTTATTTAATTTATTTTGGTCTTTTTGAGACAGGGTTTCCCTGTAGTGAGGCTGGCCTGGAACTCACTATGTAGATCAATCTGGTCTTGAACTCACAGAGATCTGCCTGCTTCTGCCTCCTGAGTGCTGGGATTAAAGACATTTGCCACCGTGCTTGGAGATAAAAATTATTTTTTTAAAAAAACAAGAGGAGCAAAATATATAAACCCAATAGTTTATTTAAAAAGAAACTCAAGAGGGCTGGGGATGTGGCTCAGTTGGTAGAATGCATGCCTAGCATAAGCATGGCATTGGGCTCTAACCTCAGTACCTTGAAAGAATAAAGAAAAGGAACAACAACTGGCCCTTACATAAGTGAAAAATTACTTTTGTTTTGTTTTACCCCAGGCACAGCAATGCACGCCTATAATCCTACAATTAGGAGGCTGAGGCAGTAAAGGACAAGGACAGCCTAGGCTACATAGTGAGTTCTAGGACAGCTTGAGCTAGGCAGCACGAATCTGTCTCAAAAAGAAACAAAACAAAACAAAGCCCCCCAAAAGAGCAAATTTGATTGAAAAAAGTCAAAGAGTTCTATAGTTCTAATGGTAAGCATATGAGGAAACAGGCACTCTACAGATACAAAATATTTACAAACTCTATGGAGGGAAATCTGGCAATGTTAAAATTATAAATACATTTATCCATGGCTTATCAATCTCACCTCCAGGAATTTATCTTACATTTTAATATTTTATTTATTATTTTTATTTTATGTGTATGTATTGTGCCTGCATGTAGGTAAGTGCACCTATGCCCGTGCCATGCAATGCCCACGGAGGACAGAAGAGGCTGTTGGATCCCCTCGAACTGGAGTTACAGACAGTTGTTAGCTGCCAGGTGGGTGCTGGGATTCAAATCCGGGTCTTCTGCAAGAAAAACCAGTGTTCTTAACCACTGAGCCATCTCTCCAGCCCCGTCTCTTATTATTTTTACAATGGCAGAGACTGGTGGTTGGAGAAATGGCTCAGCAGTTAAGAGCACTGGCTGCTCTTGCAGAAGACTCAGGTTCAATTCCCAACACCCACATGGCAGCTAACAACCATCTGTCACTCCAGTTCCGGGGATCTGATGCTTTCTTTTGACTCTGCAGGCAATGCACGACACAGGTGCACTTACACACATGCAGGCAATACACTCATACACATAAAATAATAATATAATATTTTTAAAGTAATAAAAAACAATCATAATAAAAAAGGCACAGACTGCTAGGAAAAAATGAGGAAACTGCACTGAAAGATCCATGGTGAGTCTGGGATCTCTTGCTGTACCTTTGAATGAATTATCAATAGGACATTGTACCTTAGAATTCCATCTAATGCAAAAAGACTAGAATAAGAAAAATTATGAGATGGTTATCCCTAGTGAAATAAATGACGTGGGTAATAATGATCAATGCATACAGTATCAGTAACTGGCAAGTCTGATAAGAAAATTTATAAAAGAGAGATCTCTGACCCTACTGATTAATGTTCATTAAAGCTATGGATTATTTTTATCATTTCCAAAATTAGGAACCCATAGTATTTTGCCTTCAAGTATGACACAGTATAGAGCACTTATATTTTCAATGTAAAGTTCATTAAACTTTTAGGGGTAACTTTTATTTTCAGTAAATACAGGGGATAGAGAAACAAGGTGAAGACACAAGAAAACAAAAGAAACATAGATTTGGGGATATTCTACCAAACAAGTGACTAAATTTCTGTAAGAAGTCAATCAAATTCTAAAAGGGAAAGTAGATGTAGGGGAGGATTGTGATGTGTATGTTTAGAGTCTAATTAGAATCAGTTAAATAGAAAAAGACATATTTAAGACAATCAGGAAATTTGATTTTGTACAGGAGATTAGAGAATACAAACATTCTTATGAATTTTCTTTTTTTAAAAATTTTATTATTTTGATTTTTTAAATCTGTATGTGTGTATTGCCTGCATGTATGTAAGTGCACCCATGTCATGCAATGTCCATGGAGGTCAGATGAGGGTGTCGGATCCCCTGGAACTGGAGTTAAGACAGTCATTAGCTGCCATATGGGTGCTGGGATTCAAACCCAGGTCTTCTGCAAGAACATTCAGTGTTCTTAACCTCTGAGCCATCTCTCTAGCCCTCTTATGAATTTTCTTACACATAGAAATGCCATTGCTACTGAATAAGAAAACATTCCATTTTTTCAGTGGTACATGTACTGATGTTATAGGGACAAAATAGCATGCTGCCCAGAATGTGCCTTAGTATATTTAAAGTAGATGAAGCCTGATTAACAAAGGTAGACAGACTGACAAAAATGAGTATGGCTACATACGTAAATGGTATAGTTCATCACATTATCCTCTCTACTTGTATATAAGCCTGAAAATACTTATAGAAACACCTAAAAAAGAGAATGCAACTAGCAACACATTAAGCACCAGCAGAAAGGCTTGGCTGTGGTCACCAGGACCAATAAATTTCTCTCTCAAATATTTGAATTTTTCCAGGTGCGGTGGCACATGCCTTTAATCTCAGCACTCAGGAGGCAGAGGCAGGCAGATCTCTGTGAGTTAGAGACCAGTCTGGTCTACAAAGTGAGTTCCAGGTTAGTTGGGGCTACAGGAAGACCTTGTCTCAAAAAGACCAAAAAAAATTTTTTTTTGAATTTTATAATGAAATACTGACTTAAAATTAAAAGGAAAAACACAAATTAGTTAGAAGACAAAATTCTCAAATAATCACATAAGGGCTTTTATATTTGTTTTCATGTGCTTACTTCATGTTTAGTAGCATAGGTTCTGTTAAAAAGGTTTCCAAATGAAATGCAATAAAAATACAAAGGGCGCTGGAGAGATGGTTCAGCAGTTAAGAGCACTTACTGCTCTTCCAGGGAACCCAGATTCAGTTCCCAGCACCCACATGACAGCTCACAACCATCTGTAACTCCAGTTCCAGGGATCTGAAGCCCTTTTCTGGCTCCATGGACACCAGGCATTCACATGGTATGCATATACACAAAACATGCATACACATTAAAAAAAAAAAGAAAAAAAATGTTAATAAATAAAAATACAAAGGTTTTTCCAGGTTGTTATAATACATACCCAAGTATACTTTAAGGTTTCAGAACATATAACTGTATATATAAAATCACACATACATGCCATATAAAAATCAACTACCCAATTCAGAATATGGTTTTAGTTTCCTTACCATCAATATTTAGCATCATTTTCCACATAGCAGGCCGAACAGACTGATGGAATCCAAACCATACTTCTCTGCCCCCTCCCAGAGGGTGGTCATATCCTTCTGGAGCTGAGAAAAAGGAACGCCCCACAGGCGTATATCTACAAAAATCAAGATGTATGTTCAATCCTTTTCTTCTTATACTTAAGCACAGGACAAGAAAGATTAAAACACAGATCATCATAACGATATTTGTAGTTATGAATACACATAAAAGCAAAAAGTAGCCATTCTAAATGAAGAAATCTATCAGCATCCTTTTCTGAAATTGTCTATTTTCAGAATCTATTTACAAACCAATATATTTTATTTTAAATTACTTTGTTAAAAATAAGTGAAAAATGCTGGGTTTGGTGGTGCATGCCTTTAATCTCAGCACTCAGGAGACAGAGGCAGGCGGATCTCTGTGAGTTTGAGACTAGCCTGGTCTACATACCAACTTCCAGGCCACCTGGGGCTACAGGGAGACCCTGTATTAAAAATATCAAAAAAAAAAGTGAAAAACTTTTAAGATTGTAACTTTTAAAATGCTTAAAGAGTAAATAGTAGGATGCAGAGATGGCTCAGCAGTAAAGAACACTGGTAATTCTTGCAGAAGACCCAGGTTCGAATCCCAGCACCCACGTGGCAGCTAACAACTGTCCGTAACTCCAGTTCCAGGGGATCCGACAGCCTCTTCTGTCCTCTGCAGGCATTGCATGACATGGGTGCACTTATCTACACACAGGCAATACACGCATACACATAAAATAAAAATAATAAAATATTTTTTTAAAAAAAGAGTAAGTAGTAACTGATTAAAAAGTTGTTTCTACAAATGTATTTTAAAGCACACTATTTTTAAAAAAGAGATATATTTGACATATGTAAATATACAAATGTGCAATACTAATGTGATTACAAAATTTGTCTCTTGCCAGGCATGGGAATGCGCATGCCTTTAATCCCAGCACTTATGAGGCAGAGGCAGGCAGACCTCTATTGAGATCGAGGCCAGTCTGGTCTACAGAGTGAGTTCCAGGCCATTTGGGGCTACAGAGTGAGTTCCAGGCCATCTAGGGCTACAGGAAGACCCTGTCCCCCCGCCTCCCCCCCAAAAGTATCTCTCCTTTTATCCCATACTGGAGATTGAATCCAAGACTTTACCAATGCCAGACAAGTAGTCTACCACTGAGCTATATCTCCAGTCCAAGAGTAGCAATTTCAACACAATTTAATAGTATTGAATAAACTGTGAAATTACTTTTAAAACAAAGTGATTTTAATGTATACCTAAAAATATATCAGCTATTCAAGATTTACAGGCTTAAGAGAAAGGATTAGACATTTTTCTATAAAATAATTCATTAGACTAGCTAAGCTAATGATGTATATTTTGCATGCTATTATTATACAAGTGAAATAATTAAAAGTTTGCAACATATATATGTTAACCAAGGAAGGCCTGTAGAACTCACTCGTAGGAAGAAAAGCTTCATATTTAAAAATTTAAAGAGGAAAAAAAGCCAGAAGCACCCACTTCATGGAGGGTAGATGTCGTAGCACCACATCAACGGCATGGACAGGGTTAGTGCTGATTGGCTTATCTAATTCCAGTGGCTCAGGCAAGGTCCGTCCTGTCAGTACTTCATGCAGTAGGTGCCAACTCACCCGAGACACAAATTTGATTGATACCTTGAAAGGTCGATCTTTTCCACCTTCCCCAGGTAATGTAACATCTAAATCTACCTGTTGATGGACAGGAGTCAAGTGGTAAATGTTAAGAAAAAGATAAATGTAATTATTTAAATTTAACCTTTAAAAACAAAACAGCCCCCCCAAACCCCACAAAACCAACAATCTTAATGTCAAATCAAAAGAATAAAATCTAAATACATAGTTATTCATGCCAGTTTTATTCATCACCATAAATTACCAGAAAATACTGAAATGCATTAACACTTAGGCAGCTATGAAACAAAGAATGGAGATCATTTGGAACTGCTATGTGGTAATTTCTAAACTATATAACAAGCCAAATATAAAGTATGACACCTTTTGTGTGAGAAATAAGAGGGAAATGAGGAAATAGTCATATATCTGATTACTGTTGCAAAAAATAAACACAGGAAGCATGAACTAGAAACAAAGAAATTGGTTAATTTCAAAGAATAAGAGGGAATGGATTGGAAGAAATAAGACAGAAGCAATTCTGAATACATTTTTTGGGAAGGGGGAGTACAATCATGATGTTTGGGAGCATATTAGCATTCTAAACAGCCAGGCATGCCGTTTCAGCTATTTGAGAGACTAAGGCTGGAAGACCACTGAGCTTACAAGTTCAAACACAACAAAGATGGGGCTGGAGAGCTGGCTCAGCGATTAAGAGCACTGGTTGTTCTTGCAGAGGATCTGAATTTGGTTCCCAGCACCCACATGGCTGCTAACAACTGTAACTCCAGTTCCAGGGTATCTGATGCCCTCTTCTGGCCTACACAGGCATTGCAAACATGAGAGCACTTAGATACATTCAGGCAAAACACTCATATGCATTAATGAAAAAAAAGAACAAAGATGATCACTCCAGCTCACAAGTTCAGAAATCAACAAGAATGAGCCAGGTGTACTGGTTCATGCTTGTAATCAAGAAGCAGATACCACAGGAGGACCAATGCAAGTTCAAGGCCAGCTTTGTCTACATAGCAAGTTCTAGACCATCCTGGGCTATATAGTGAGATTCTATTAAAAAAAAAAAGGATGGAGGAAAAAATTAAAGCTGAGTATAAACAAAATCAAACGAATCCAAGTACATTTCAAATGAATAATATAATTACACTGAAAGGAAAAATAAAAGCCTACCTAATGCCAAGTAACTCTTAAACACAGTGTGTTGACTATTCACTCATTTTGAGGAGTTAAGATAAAGAGTTGGCTTGGGAGAACAACTATATACAAAATAAAACCTTAAACTCTTCTGAGAAAAAGTGGTAATGGGTCAGGAGATTAGTCTAACTAAAGAAAAAGGAAGAGCCAGTAAGATAGCTAAGCAGGTAAGAGTACCTTATACCAAGTCGACTGACAACCTGAGTTTGAGTCCCAGGACCCACATGGTAGAAATGCACATGAGCTATACACACACACACACACACACACACACACACACACACACACACACACACACGTTTAAAAGAAAAAGGGAAATATAAACATGCAAAGGATCAAAGAAGAAAAAGTTGGAGAGAACAGGCTAGAATTGGATGAAACAGTGTAAATTCATGATTTTCAATTTATTTATGTTAGATTTACTGTAAGTGTTAACATTATGGCCTGAAAAGATGGCTCAGTGGCTAGACATGCTTGCCACCAAGTCTGATGATCTGAGTTTGATCCTCAGTCCCCACGTGGTAGAAGAAGACAGTTGACTCCTGAAAGTTTTCCTCTGACCTCCACATGTGCCACTGTGAGCACACACATGCACACAATAAATGTAATAAAAAATGTGATTTACTTTATCTTGTTTTATTTGCATACATATTTGTTTCTGTTCACTAATAAAGGGGTTAAGAAGCACATGTACCTCAGTCAGTATCAATGAGCATATACTGGGCTGAAATTTAGGTTTCAAAATTCTTATCTGAAACTAAAAGAAATGGGGGATGCTCTGGGACTTGATTAGGTGTAGGGCTGCAGCAGCAAAAGGATAAGACAAGCTTGGAACATCCTGCTGTAGCAGAAGGTAATGAAGCGTTAACAAATGTTAGCTAGATGTGGTGGCTCATGCCTGTAATTCCAGGATTTGGGAGGCTGAGGCAGGAGAATCACCAAGAGTTACAAGTCAGCCTGATTACACAGTAAGTCTAGGATGACCTGGGTTATAGAATAAGACTCTATCTCAAATTAAAGAAAATATTATAACAACAGAACACAGGAATTAGCTTAAAAGGCCTCCTACTGATCAAATCTGAGACAAGCTGAGATACCAGATCATTAAATAGGATACAAGAAAATATTCTCTCTTATAGCAAAATATCAAATAATAGTGGTAGAAGGAATGCCATAGTAGAACATCTCCATTATTATATAATAATCCTTTCCAGCAAGAATCACCAGTGGTTAAAAAGTATGATGAAAAGCAGGATTATTAAAAGTTATCTCCCACACAAAACCTAAAAAACTACGCATCAAAGGGCACAATTGACAGGAGAAAAGGCAGTCTATGCAATGTAGGAAAATATTTGTAAATTAATATCTAAAATGGGATTAACAGCCAGAACATTAAAAGAACTCCTATAACTTGTTAGCAGCAAAACACCCAAATTTTAAAAATGGGCAAAAGACTTTAATAGACATTTCAAAGAAGGTAAAAATGCCCAATGAATACAAGAAAATGTTTTCAATATCACTCACTAATTTTGGAGGAAACCCAAAACCAAACCACAGTGAAGTTGGGCCTGGTGGTGTAGGTCTATAATCCCAGCTTCTCAGGAAGCTGAGACAAGAGAATTATGAGCTAAGATGTGAGCCTTGGGCTACACAGAGAGCCAAAGGTCAGCTCTGGTCTATATAAGGAGACCCAAATGACATCTATCAATAGAAAAATGAATATACAAAATGTGTTCTATGCATATAATAGATTATTATTCGGCCTCGAAAAAGAAAGACATGCTACATATCTGCAATATTGAATAAACTTGAGGACATAACACTGAGTGAAAACAAGCAAGCCACAAAATGCTGCATGATTCCACTTAGACTTGAATAGACATTTCAAAGATAAAAATGACCAATGAATACATGAAGTACCAAGAATGGTCAAATTCATAGACACAGAAAGGAGAATGGTGGTTGTCAGGGGTTGAGGGAAGAGAGTAATGAAGAATTAGTGTTTGGTGGGTACAGAGCTTCAGCTTAGTAGGATAAGGACAATTTTCAAGAGGATGGGGGTGATGATTAATAACACTGTGAAGGTACATGACACTACTGACGTGTACCTTAAAAATAATTAACATGTTATTTGTACTTTACAATTTTCAAAAATGCATTTCCCCTTAAGATATTTATTAACTAAAAGTTGGTCATGGTGGCGCATGCCTTTAGTCCCAGCACTCGGGAGGCTGAGGCAGGCGGATCTCGGTGAATTCAAGGCCAGCCTCGTCTACATAGTGGATTCAAAAAAATAAATAAATAAAAAATAAAAATAAAAAAAAGAAAAGAAAAGAAAAGAAAGAAAGAAAAAGTTTTGGTAGGAAAAACCTTGCAGAATAACCAAATAGTCGAAGTTAGCATTGTTTTTAATGGAACAAATACATTATGTACCTCCAGGTGCAACTGCACTGATAAAGGAAGAACACTTCTGCAATATTCTGGCCAAAAACATCTAACCAAAATGTAACTGAGGGGAATAAGAAGACAAATCTGACTCAGGGACATTCTACAAAACAACTTGCCTGTAATCTTCAATCATGTTTATATCATAAAAGAAAAATAGCTTGGAAATTATTCCATAATAAAGACCAAAGACATATGATGCCTATTACCATGATCTTGGCCAAGTTCTTCAACATAGGAGGGGAAAAATGCTAGAAAACATGAGCAAAACAACTGACAAAAACAAGTATTGCATCAATATTAAATTTAATGAAGTAGGTATGACTCCGATTGTTATCCCTTTTCTTAGGAAATAATATATATTAAAATATTAGTAAAAGGGGCATGATGTATGCAACCTAATTGTGAATGGGTCAGGAAAAAGTATGTATGTATGTATGTCTCTATATCAACTATATACAGCTATAATTAAGAGAGCAAAAGAGAGTAAGAAGAAAATGATAAAACTCATGAGGCAAATGTTAAAGACATTGGTGAATTTGGGCAAAGGACAGTTAAATTTACTGCATTCTTTTTCTTTTTAAAAAAAGTTATTTTAGCTGGGCATGGTGGCGTGCCCCTTTAATCCCAGCACTCAGGAGGCAGAGGCAGGCAGATCTCTGTGAGTTTGAGGCCAGCTTGGTCTACACAGTAAATCCAGGGCAGGTGTGGCTACAGGGAGACCCTGTCTCAAAGAGACTAAAAAATTTTATTTTTATTTTATGTATGAGTGTTTTGTCTACATGCCTGTAAGTGCACCCATGTTGTGAAATGCCTGCAGAGGCCAGAAGAGGGTCTAGGATCCCCCTTGAACTTGAGTTACAGATGCTTGGTTTTTGTCATGTGGGTGCTGGGAACTGAACCCAGGTTCTCTGTAAGAGCAATCAGTGCTCTTAACCACTGAGCCATCTCTCCAGCTCTGCATTATTCTTGTAACTTTTCTGTAAACCAGAAATTATTTTAATATAAAAAGTTTAAAATATAATTATATAATTAAAATGGTAGATCATATAAAAAGTGGTAGATCATTTAAAAGGAGACATAGCAAAAGTACAGCTTCATAAGAAAGGAATGCACATCTTACCCCAGTAGTTGCCACAGGAAGTGGATTGGCTGTATAAAGGCTTCTTTTTCCATCATAAACTGGTCTACGGTCTCCAAATATTGTTACTTTAAAATGCTGAACCATTGAGTCAACTACCTCCCTAAGGAAGGGAAAAAAATCATTTACACAATCTTTTGCAAGATGAAATGTGAAAATAGTAATGGAAACAATTCCTGGCACTGTTTAACACTCAAAATTCTAAAAGACATTCATCTGTAATAAAGATTTAGCCTTTAGAACCATAGCTTAGGACAGTAGAAAGATTGATTGCTGGCAAAAGGTGTTACATGTTTTCTAAAGACATAATAATAAATCTAGTAAACTAATTGACCATAGTTGACCTGCAAAATACTACCTTTGGATTCTGACTCAAAATCCCCTTCATATTCTCTAAGCACCCCCTAATTTGGATGTTTGCTTTTCTTTTTCAAAAAATAAGATGCTGTTTGCACTGTGCTAAAATAGTCTTTCATGAGTATCTATCTCTAGAACTATCAGTCTATCATATTATCATCATATTCTTCATTCCTATAGTAAGCTTTCTAACCGTGATAAACACATCTATATTCTTTATGCTCCCTATTCTTACTACGGTACCTAATCAGTAAGGTACTAGGAAATATCCAGCTGGGGATGTAGCTCACGTTAGAACACTTGCCTGGCATGAACAAGGCCTTATGTTCAATCTTTAGTACTCACAAAAAGAATTGAATCCTCTTATTTTCACCCAGCAAATATTTTTGATCCCAATATATATCAGCATGGAAAGATATTCAAGACTTACATCTTATAAAAACAAAACAAAACAAAACAAAAAACAGACTATAGAGAATACAAAACATCTAAAAATAAACATATTCTGATATTCAAATATTCATAAAAGGAGGGAAAAGGTATCTAGAAGGATACATGCCAAAGAAATAGAGTGCTTATGTCTAAAGAGGGACTGTTTATACGCTCTAAATGCATTATAATTACAAAAAATTAGAGTACATTTGCACAGTGCTGGTAAGATTTAAAATAAATCAATAGATTAAAACCTAACCCAGTAAGTGAAAGGGAAGGAAAAGAAGGAAATCAGCATTTTCCAGGAAAGAAAAAAAGAAACCAAGCTGACCTAATTCCCAGAACAATTTTCCATAAAGCACAAAACCTCTATTTCCCACCCTGCTTATCACATTTGTTTTACTGAAACTATTTAAATCAATATTATATCTTTCATGAGTAAATCTGACAACAAAGATTTGATGTGACTATCACCTTTGGGGTTCCAAACAAGATTCAAAAATTTCATCATTTAACATTTCTTTTGTGGCCATTACTACAAAGTCTAATTTCCTATATTACCATTATTAAATAAATCATATAGGTCTAATTTGTTGGATATTTGATTTTTGTTAACTCAGTAACTCAATGGTTCATAACTGAACCACTCTAAGGATCAAAATGGTGGCAGAGACTGCAATGGCAGGGTCAATATCTCAGAGATGAAAACATCCTGCTTTGATACTCAGCACACAGTATTTCCTCAATAAACGTTCTAATAGTGGATAATCAATCTACTTCAGTAAACTGCCAAAACCTCCAATGGAATATATCTAAAGCTGAATTCAACAAATTTCCTCCCAAGTTAAATCTGGTTATATTCTGTTATTACTTCTGTTTAATTAATGGTGCCTCCATTTTCCTTGTTACTCAAATTTGAAACCTGGCTCATCTCTTCACCTGATTCCATGCTGACTCCACCTCTCTACATCTGTGACACCAGTCCTTCACTTTCCATCCTGAATTACCACCACCTTAAATTAAGACTTCCAGGGCTGGAGAGATGGCTCAGGGGTTAAGAGTACTGATTGTTCTTGCAGAGGATCTGGGTTTGAATCCCAGTACATGGCAGCTAACAATCGTCCATAACTCCAGTTCCAGGGGATCTAACACCCTCTTCTGTCCTCCACAGGCACTGTACAACACAGATGCACTTATATACATGCAGGCATAACATTCATACATAAATTTTAAAAAATATTTTATTATTTTTATTTTATGTGTATGAGTGTATTGCCTGCATGTATGTGAGTGCACCCATGTCGTGCAGTGCCCTGGAGGTCAGAAGAGGGTGTTGGATTAAGTTCCAGGGGATCTAACACCCTCTTCTGTCCTCCACAGGCACTGTACAACACAGATGCACTTATATACATGCAGGCATAACATTCATACATCGAACCCAGGTCCTCTGCAAGAGCAGTCAGTGCTCTTAATCGCTAAGCCATCTCTCTAGCCCCATAAATAATTTATTTTTAATTTAAAAAATTAAAAAAATAAATAGAGACTTCCAAGTCCTAGTACTTGGATTATTTAAGTTTCTTGGCTTTCTTGTCTTTAGTTTTTTTCTTCTTCCACTCAACTTATATATCATTGCCAGATAAATCCCTAAGCTACACTATGAGTTTGTGACTGCAATGATTGTGTCTTGCTCAAAGACAACATGCCACAGCCCATCTCCCTATTTTTCTAACTCTTGTATTCTTCCTGCCTTCTCTCTGCCAGTGTTCCCTGTGCTTTAGAGAGGATGGCATAACTGACTCATTTAGGGCTGAGCACTCATCTGTCTCTTTCTCAGCATCTTGTGCAGCCATTAGTCTCTGCATTCACCACTGTTCACTGGAAAGAGAAACTTTTTGAAGTAAGGCTGACAATATCAATTATCCATAGGCATAAATACAAATATTTAAAAGGCAGTTTGATGTTATTATCAATTTAGCTTAAAAAGCAGTATTTAGTTCCCTACTAGAGCCTATGATCTACCCTGCCACAAATTTTTGACCAGGTGTTCAATACCAAGCAAGTACTCTTTCCTGTGGAGTGGGTCTCAAATCCAATCAGAGAGCCTACCCTGTAACAGTAGTGCCATGACTGCACATTCAGGCACTTCCTTGGCAGGATTCACAGCTGGATTAAGACCATTGATGTTTTTCTCCCCCAGTACCCTGCATAGCACTGTGAGGGGCTATGAAAACCAGCTAGAAGAGAGGAAGACTCCAGCTCCATTTCAACTTGATTCTCTTAATCATGTAACCAAGACGTATGGTATCATTAGAAATAGGGTCTTATCACCTAATTCTTGGGGGCAACCTAAAGGAATGCCAAGGGCTTGTACTGCATTGGGTCCCTCTGGGGCCTCCCTGACCACTAAGGAGGTAATCCATCCCTGGCATGAGGGTTTTTGTTTAATAATCCATAGCTTCTGGGAGTAGCTTTTACCAGCTATGCAGGGTATCTTCTCTCAAACTTTCTTTCCCTCGTTTTTGAGACAGGGCCTTACTACGTAGACCAGGCTGGCCTTGAAAACTCACAGAGATTTGCCTGCCTCTGTCTCCAGAGTGCTGGGATTAAAGGTCAAACTCTTTTTTAAAAAGTTATTTTAAAATTTGGTTAAAAGGTTACCATAAGGCTATTTCATAATCCCTTCACTTTGCTTAACCCCCCCATTTCTACCTCTCATGTTTCCCCTCTCTGCTTTCAGATTACCTATGTTCCATTATCTCCCCTCCCTTAAGGCATCACCCTTCCTGGTTTCCTGGCTTCTAGAGGTGCTCCAAAGAGAACACACAAAGTTAAAAATTTGATCTACATATAAGGGAGAACATGTGGTATTTATTTTTCTGTGTCTGGTTTACCTTACTCAATATAATTTTTCTAGTCCCATCTACTTACATACAAATTTCATTTTTCTATACAGCTGAGTAAAATTCCATTGTGTATAATCTAGGCTGTTTCCATTTCCTAGTTATCATGAATAGAGTGGCAATAAACATATAGTAGGATATAGAATCCTTTGGTATATGCCCAGGAATGGAATAGCTGGATCACATGGTAGTTCTGCCTCTAGTTTTTAAGGAATCTCCAGTTTGATTTTCATAGTAGATGGACCAGTTTGAACTCCCAGCAAGAGTAAACAAGGGTTCTTCCCCCCCCGCCCCCGCCACATCTTCACCAGCATTTGTTGTCATGTTATTTTTTGATGATAGCAATTCTGACTAGGGTGGAATGGAATCTCAAAGTCGTTTTAATTTGCACTTCCCTGATGTTGAACATTTTAAATGTATTTATTAGTCATTCATATTTCTTCTTTTGAGAATTCTCTGCTCAGATCTATAGCCTGTTTTTTTGATTGGGTTACTTTTTTTACTTAATGTTTTGTTTTTTATGTATTTTTAAAAATTCATTTTTATTTATGGTTATGAGTGTATTGTCTGCATGTTTGTGAGTGCACTTGTGTTGTACAATATCTGCAGAGGCCAGAAGAGGATCTCATGGACCTGGAGTATAGATGGTTGTTAGTTGCCATGTGGGTTCTGGGAACCAAACATGGGTCTCTGTAAGAGCAGTCAGTGCTTTTTTAACTGCTGAGTCATCTCTCTAGCCCCAAGTTATGTATTTTCTATATTAATCCTGTTAATGCATAGTTGTCAAGAATGTTTTTGAAGGCTACCTCTTTATTTGCTTATTTCTTTTGCTGTACAGAAGAATCTTTTTAGTTTCATAAGTTGCCATTTGTCAACAGTTGGTCTTATGTCCTGAGTGACCAGAGTCTTATTTAAAGTCTTTACCTATGCTTGTATGTTGTAGCATATGCCCTACCTTCTTTTCTAGCAGTTTCAGAGTTTCAGGTTTTATATTGAGATCTCTGATCCATTTGAAGTTATTTTTGTGCAAGGTGAAAGATAGGGATCTAGTTTTCATTCTTCTGCCTGTTCACCGCCACCTTTCCCAACATCATTTGTTGAAGATGTTGTCCTTCCTCCAGTATGTATTTTTGGAGTCTTTGTCAAAAATCAGGTAGCTATAATTGCACAGACTTCTATCTGGATCTTCTCTATTCTAGTGCACTGATTTACACATCTATTTTGTGTCAGTGCCATGCTGCTTGTATTATTGCTTTATAGCATAACTTAAGAACTGGTAATGCCTCTAGCAATATTCTCTTTGCTCAGGATTGCCTTAGCGCTCTCTCTCTCTCTCTCTCTCTCTCTCTCTCTCTCTCTGTGTGTGTGCGCGCGTGTGTGTATGTGTTCAAAAAGACCAGAGGTTAACCATGAC